ATATTCCTTTTCCTGTCTCTTGCTTTCATTCACCACCCCCTTCTTCTTGAACAACCACCTACCTGAGAGACATCATAGCAGTAAAATGGCATGTCATGACAAGCCGCCCATATTCAGACTACCAGAATGATAGGCACTCCAAACATGAAACTACTGTTACAAATTACCATCTGCAGTGCAGTTCTAATATTATTTAAAATATATCAGGTATTGCATTTCTATAAGAAAGAGAGTCTTGGGTCTCTGTGAGGAAAATTGAGCCCACAGTTCATTGGCAAATTCAGAATTTCCTTTAAGTCAAACCCCAGAGAATAGAATTTAGGATTGTAATTTGATCAAGATGGTAGAGCATGTGTTTGTCTAGTTTTTGCCTTGGCAGCAATGTGTGGGATTTGGTCCTCTGTGGATATTAATTTCAGAGTTGAGCTAAGGCATTGCACCCCTGGAGACTAAACCAAAAATGCAGGTTTGGGCTGCAAGCTCTGAAGAACTGAGAGGAAAGGTGGCACAAAGGATCAAGAGTGGCTTCCCCTGGTCCAGTTTAGTTTTTCTGCAGGTGCTGTGTCCAAAACCTACTATAACTACCCAATACAACTGTGTATCAAGTTTGAGGCACAGTTAAATCCTGACTTGGGAATATATGTAATTACCTAGCAAGCCTCCTAGGTGTTTTTCATTTTTTCTTCTTTAGTGTATTTAGTACAGTGTCTATAGGATCTCACTGCACAGATCAGACTCATAGTGATCCTTTCTGCGTTTCAGCCTCCCAAGCACTGAGATTACAGGTGTGTGCGACCACACCCAGTCTCAATTGCCACCTCAGTACCTCCACGGGGTGAGGCCAGCATGGCAGGCAATAGATCGAACCCCTAGCCTCTGTGTCTGCTTAAAATGTGCTTTAATCCACTATTTGGCCAGCCCTCATTTTTTATTTTCTAAAAGAAAACTTACCACTGCTAAGACTGTAAAAGGTGGACAGGAAATAGAAGCAATGGAAAAAAATACTTCACATTTTCCCACATTAGTATTTTATTTTTTCAAGCCATGACCATTTAATTCATATCAAAAAACTTGAGATGAACACCTAATATATAACCTTCTTATATTATTTAACTGCAAATAAAGTTTCTTTTCAGGGCATCAGTGCAACTAAGGTGGAATTATCTAAATAAACTTCTAATACCATTAGAGTTATGAACTTAAAGTGTTATAGACTGTATTGAGAATAAACTTAAGCATTACTTTTTTTAGGTCTAATGATAAATGATGAGGTAGAATAGCTTCAATAGATTTCCTAGCCCTAGACCCTCAAATTAAGTGTGCACTGACTTAAAATACTGGTGGGTTTTTTTTTAGGAATGAGAGATATGTGCTGCTGAATACCCATTCTTTAATACAAAGTATTTTAAATAAAATGGGCTTGAGATATATGAACACATCCAGGGAAAACTGAGTGAGGCAGTAAGTTCATCTAGATTTTCACATGTTTCCAGATTTTGGCATTTTAGCCAACACCAAATCTGGGTGAATGAATGAATGTTTTCATGTTGGCATGACTTTATTTCCAAATTCTTTTATGACCAAATATTAATAATGAGATGGGAAGTTAAGACTAGAAAGATATTTTCTGTGAAACACAAAATCTTAATAGTATTTTAAACATATACAATATGTTTTGATATAATAAAAGGATTACTAGCCTGAAACACATGGTGAAACCTTGTCTCAAAAAACAAAACAAAACAAAGAAAAAGAGTGCCTAAAAACTCTCAAAAGTTTTGATTCATACTTCTAAAAGTATTTTCTGCATACAATACTTTTAGACTTATGAACTACTCCTTATTTTTCTATCTTCCCATCCCTGGTCACTATGTTTATATTCTGTTTGCATATATTCAGCAGTTTTTATTTCTTTGACCATACAAGATCATGTACGATTTTTCTTTTCAGATCTGGCTTAATTTCTATTAGAATAATGCCATTCAAGTTTGTGTATTGTTAGGAATGATAATATCTCCTTTTTAAAAGGAAAAATAATAGTCTTATTGTGCAAATGCATAGATTCATAACTTATTCATCTCTTGATATACAGGTTTCTATATTTTGTTGTTTTGAATAATGTATCAATAAATGTGGACATGCAGATAATCTTCATGAGGCAATGACTTCATTTGGTCATATGGTTATTTGTGCAATAGCTGATCATACCATGTGTTAGTCCTGTTTTTTCTTTTAATTTTTTGGATACTTCCACATCTTTCAAAATGACTGCTTCCATTTACATTTTAAAGGATGTGAGATTTTTATTTTGAGCATCTATTATACACAGTTTACAAATATTCTCTTCGAGTTCATAACTGCCTCTTGATTTTCCTGAATTTTCTTCCTTTACTGCGTAAAACTTTTTTTATTTTGATGAAGTCCATCTTTATTCTTTGTTCTCAGGCCTAAGCTTTTGGTGTGAGATCAAAAAACAAACAAAACAAAACAAAACAAAACAAAACAAAACAAATAGCTATGACCTGTATCAAAGAGCCTTTCTTCTGTGCTTTCCTTGTAGGAGTTTTACTGTTTCAGACCTTTAGGATTAGAGTATTTTCATGTATGGTGTAAGGAAACAATGCAGCTGCATTCTCTTGCAGATGGGAATCCAGTTTTTGATTGTCACTCTCCAGTATGTCTTCTTGGTGGCCTTGTCAGAAGTTGGCAAATGTGCTTGGATTTCTTTCTGTTTGTCCTGTTTCATTGGTCTGTGTGTCTGCTTTTATGCTAGTGCTATGTTATTTTGATCACTGTGGTATTAGAATTTGAAATCAAGGCATGTGATCCTCTTGTTTTTTTCCTCAAGTTGTTTTAGCTACTCAGGGTCTTCAATAGTTTCATATAATTTGTAGATTTTCCCCCTTATATCTGAAAAAATGACACCTGGGTTTTGATAAGGATTGCATTGAAGGTGTATATTGCTTTGGATAGTATGAATATTTTAACAAAATTAACTTTTCCAACCTATGAAGATGGGATTTCTTTCAATTTATTTGTGCAATTTTCAGTGATGTTTATAGTTTTCAGAGTATAAATATTTCACTTTCTTGGTTATTTATTCTGAAGTATTTTATTTTTTAATGCTATCAGAAATGTTTTTAGGTTTCCAAATAGAGTACCACTAGTATAAAGAAATGCAACATAAGAAAACCAAAAATCTTAAACCAGATACCATAACTGTCTTGTTAACACTAATACACTAGCCATAATTAGTAGGATTAACTAATCCATGGAATAAGTAAATTTATAAAATATTGCTAATGCTTTTAAATAATGACTAACAAAATTGAATTATATATAATTCAAAAATGGGTAATAAAAATACTATGAGTTTTTCTATAAAATCTGATTGTTCTGCCCAGGGTGGTGGCATGTGGCTGCAATCCAAGCATGTGGGAGGCAGAGGCATGTGGATGCTGTTAGTTGAAGGATAGCCTGGACTGTGTAGTGAGTTGAAGGCCAGGCTAGAGTACATGGGAAGACTCTGTCTCAGAAAAGAAACAAAAAAAATCTGATTGCTCTGAAATGAAAGTGAACAACTTTTCTAGAGTAAGACATGCTCAATAGAAGAAACAATAAAGACATTTGGGTTTGTACATATATACGTCTCCCATGCACATATCCATTATTCTACAAAGGTAATCACTTTAGAAGGAAAAAAAAAACATGTTGAGACAGTGTCTCACTCTGTGGTTCAGGGTGGCCTTGAACTCTCAACAGTTTTCTGACTTCAGCTTCCCAAGTGCTGGGATTACAGCTATCCAGCATCGCACCTGACTTATAGAAACTTTACACTTTTAACCATCTGTATTGTGAATATAGTCTCATTATCTCTATTTTTCTGGGCTCAGACTGACCCTTATGTATGCTTACATACATCTTTGTGCCATAGTCTTTGTTTACAGCTGCACAAATGGCTGGCATTTGGGTCTTAACTCAAGGCTTTAGATATAAGTTAAACCTAAAATTTCAGTCATGATCCAACTTCATTATATATGAGGCTGGTTATAACTCCACTAATATGTTTTTAATATGGCTATTAGTGTACATGGAATATTTTACTGTACCTCAACTTCTTTGGATTTCATAGCATCTTATAGATTATATCTGCTACAATTTCCAATACTGAATGGCAGTGTTGACATTTTCTCCAATGTTGCACTTCTGTCAAGACTGTCATTATATTTTCAAACCTAGTTCTCACATTGGATCAAAATACATTTGGTTGTGTGACCATTTTGCAAAACCTCAGAAGGTCAAATATGGACTCATCTTGCTGTTTTCTTCATCATCTGAATCAAGTAGGTCTTCATTCCTTGTGTCTGTATCAATCAATTCTTGCTCTCTTGTACTGTCACAAGAATTTTGCCTCACATGGCCAGTGTCAAAACCATTATCATCATCATAAGCCCAGACTACTTTTCTGTTATAAAAAAACGAATCTATTTTATCATAGTGAATAATTTTCATCATCTATGAATGAGTAATTTGATGGCTCACTTTTGATCTCCAAGGCTTGCAAAACTCTGGAGTTACTGTACACAGATAATATGTACAACACTTATAAAACCAATTTTAACATCATTTTCACCAGCCAGCAACCTGGAAACATCTCTTTAATTTTGGCAACGTCTATAAATCAGTTTGTTCTAGACAAATATTTTAAAAATCCAAAAAGGCAAAAAAAAAAATACTGTTGAGCTCATATAAAACAGCTGTTTATAGATTGGACAGAAAATAAATAAATACACATCAGACAATTTGTTTGTAAAAATCAAAGTGCACTCAGATACGTTTGGCCAATTTGAATTACAACAAAGTTTACAATTTTAAAGTTTGTAACTATAAGTAGACTATTCAGAACTGTGTAGATCATGAAACAGATATAATAAAATTCGGAATATAATACTTCATTCAATATATATATGAATTTTGGCAAATTGGTGTCCTGTTTCAAGGTAAAATTGTAATTCACATTGGATATGGAGTAAGATAAGGTGTAGCATGTGGAACAGGTACATAGTCAGCAGGATGGCCTACAGGAGGGGAAGGGGCAGCTGTAATAGACATGGGACGCACTGGGGGGTTGTTGAAAGAGCGGCTGTAGCATACAAAAGACCTGATTGAGACAGACACAGAGAGATTTGAAAGGGATCACATGAGGTGTACAAATTAGGAATATTAGGGAGGGTGAAGAATTCCTGCAGGTAGGGAACATTTTTTAGCTTTGTTCATTGTCTAATTCTTACAGAATGGTGAGATCAAAGGTCCCACTCTTTTTTTTTTTGTCTTTTTTTCCCCCATAAATTTATTGAGAAACAGATAGTAATGAGAGTTTCAAACCAAACTGGTAGGACAGTTTCAATAATTAACACACTGTATACATTCTTCCTAGTGGTTAATTGCTGTACAAGATGCAGACATGATATCTTACTTACAAACACCATTAGAACAAATGCCTTTATTCCTTAAGAGAATGTAACTGTATATCGATCCTAGCCATTTGAATACAGATATAAAATGGACATTTGTCTGCATCCCCTTTTTGTTGTTAAGTTCCATTATTTGAATATTATAGGTGTGTAAACTCAGCAAAATATTCTAAAAGAGTCCAGTAGCCCATAAT